TTATTTATATAGCACCAAATCACAACAACAGTTGGTACTTTATTTTGTAAAGTAAGGACCCCACATCTTTATTTCTACTATATAATAATATTATGAAGAAGGAAGCAGGAGGCTTTTATTTTTTTCACTCTCAGGCTTTTATTTTGTTAAATTAATGCGTTGTGATGATTATACCATCGCAAACATAACTTTTACTGGTAAGTGAGGTCATTCTTTATATTAGGTAAAGCATTAGTTCTTATAGTCTTGTGTGCTCTAAGATGCAGTGCTGTGCAAAAGTCTTGAGCCAACCATTGTTAAGACAGTGGTGCTGTCATATATTGAAACGTGCAAACATGCCGTAAAAGGAAATACGGTACATTAAACCACAGTCGGATCTCTCTGAGACAGCTTCCTTCAGGAATACTCAGGAGCAGTTCTCCAGGCTTCTCCAGGCTTCTCCAGGCTTCTCCAGGTTTCTCCAGGCTTCCCAAAGGACAGTCAAAGGTTTGGGGAGGCCATGACTGACTGTCCTGTGTGTGTTTTATATCCAGGTATGGTTTAGTGCGTTGGCAGTGTGTAAGCACTTACATAGAAACAGCGTAGAAGAAAATGCTTGTGTGAATGAGGCACGTTGTGTAAAGCGCTCAGAGTAGAAAGGCGCTCTATAAGAACCATTTACTATCAGGATTTAGCTCCATTATAAAATAACTCAATTGTAAATATCCAGAATATTACAGATTAAATATATATAACTGACATTTTACTGTGAAACTTTGTTATTTTCACTGTAGAGGATGGAGAGAGACTTCCTGTGCCCTTTAGTGGTGCATTATGGGTAATCTTAGTCTCTCAGTGACTGACCAGCTCATCATGAGTGGGTGGGAGGTCCAGCATTGTCCTGACCTTGGACAACATCCGCCTCTCAGACACCACCTTATTAAAGTCTAGCTCCATCCCCACATCACCCTACCTTGTTTTAGCGATGGCTGTAGGCTCTCCCTGTTGGACCTCCTGATCCTTTCCATACATATTGATGACCACAAATATTAGCGTAGTGTGCATTGGGTCCTTCACAAGAATTTGAGTGAACTGTACGAGTGACAGGATGCCTGTTGGCCTCTGAAACCCTCAACCTGCTGTCCCAGCATGCAACAGCACAGAGGATGGCACAGGCCACAGCAGACTCGGGTCAAAGGAGCTTGCAAAGA